TTTTTTAAGCAGATTTTTCTTTATCTGAAATTTTAGAGAACATGCGACAATAACAGTGTATACTGTAAAATAATATGGAAACTTGTGTCAGATTTGTGAATGTTGGTTGCAAACGTGCAGAACACATTGCCTTTACTCTACTATATAATTGTCGTTGATCGCAGACATATAATGTGTTATCATGTGTCCGCTCTGTCCTTAAAAGTTAGCGGCGACAAACGACAAGGGTCGGTATCTATAGTGGGGAGATTGAAGGGAGAGGTCGGGATTTAAATGGGGTGGGGAGACTGATGTGGGAGGAAGGTAAGAGGGAATTTAAAAAGGGACGGGGTAATGGTGGTGTAAATAAGCACATGTGTGTATTAAGACTACACATTATAATGTACTCTACTCACAGTACTCAAATATATGCAACTGTACTAAGATGCAAACCTCTGACTACTGACGTCTGTGGTGTGAAGTGGTTAGGCCTGGGCTTGGCTGTAGCACGCAGCGGGAGACCTGAGTTCGATTCCCGGGTGGGGATAATATTTTTTTATAAGTATCTCCGTCTCAGTCTCAGTATACATGTAGTTATATTGACAATTGCATTTATACTGCGCATAATATCCACTCTTCACAGCACACTCTTTGCGCTTAACAGCCATTACTACCCCCAGCAGACCCTAGAACACTCAGAAAAATTTTTGGCTTCTCGGTTAGCATTCAGTAAAAGCTGCATATTGTCGTGCTCTTACGCTAACAAACTGACAAGATCTTTCGTAGTCTATAGCCGGTTACCCATTCCTACATTGGTGAAGTGAGGATTCGTGTAAAGTGCCTTTCCTTACAGGACTCAAACCACGACCTTACGTTCAAAAGTCCGAGAACCTAACCACCGATACCACATTTTGAAGCTTATTGTACTGTCTGTTAGACTTATAATATTAAATTATTTTAATGGAATGGGTACCCGGCTATAGACAGAGAATGATCTTTCCAAGCAGTTTTTAATGCTTGAACGCTTTGCCAGCTACTTGCACTGTGTGATTCACAAGAAGCCGAGGATGATTCTGAATGTCTAGGTCTGCTGGGGTAATAATAATATTATCATTATTATTATACTGGAAAACCCATAGACCTTGCTCTTGAGCGGGGAAATATGCGAATACAAACGCTATTAATAATAAATATTATTAAACATAAGGTTCAGAAAGTAATAGTTCCGAACTCACACCCCTTTACTATTGATTTTTGCAATCGATACCAAGCACCGTTTGCTATTTAGTCAGATACTTGAAACTACTATAAAAATACCGGGCCCGAGAATTAAATTAGGTTCCCATATTTTTTTGCTTATAATGTGATTTCCAATATTAATAAACGACTTTGGTATACAAACAGCCACCGACACCTGGTAATATTAGCTTGTAAGAATGTCAAGAAGGGCGTATATCAAAAGTAAATAGTCTATTAATTTCTTATTTACGATTGTGTGAAATGTACAACTTAAGGCCGGTATGAGTGGGCTTTTATGGTCTCATTATCGTGCTGGTGACTTTCAATAAAGGATCCTTTTTTGGGGACTGAATTGGACCTAATACATAAAGCATAGCAAATACTCCCTCAGGACCAATAATTTAGTTTTTGAAATGGATACGAATTATTAAGATAACACTCGTCGTGGTCTATCTTACAGTTGTGTATTGCGCTTCCTATGTAGGATAGAGGTGGTTTTATCTACCCTCAACCCTTGGTTTAGTTGAAGTAAGAGTTTTACGACACTTGAAGAGACGAGTCATATAATAAGTGCCAAAACTCCCAACCCTGCCCCTTTCTTCTATATCACTACCCTTACCATGTTTTTTAAAAAGTCACATAATTCACATAATGTGGCGCAGCAGTTAGGTGCATCACTAGCTGTCGCACAAGTAAGACCTGAGTTTAATTTCCGTGTGGGAAGAATTTGTATCGGGTATCTCACTTTTTCTGCTGAAACCTAGATTCCTTTTCATCCTGGGTTGGCGTTAAAACGGAGTAAGCAGTAATGTAACCCCTCCATACAGTATACAGCACATCAAAATAGCGTTTTAAAATAGCGCGTTAACCAGGTCACTGGCCTGAGATAGTCTAGTGCTCTCTGGTTGGACAAAAAATAGAGGCGAATACCTATGTTTCATAAAATATATATTTTATCAAAAATAAAAAAGCACATGATTCTATGTGTCTTGATTTTCTTTTGTGTCTGTGGAAGGGCGGGGAAAGGGGGGAAGATGGAGCTATACTCCTTACCCGAACAAATAAACCCCTCACATCTTTCTCCAAACCCTCATCCCTCCTCCCTATACCCTATCCCCATACCCTATCCCTGTACTCTACCCAACCTTTAATCTCACTCTCCCCCAACCCCTCCTTTCGGTTGAGAAGGGACAGCGACGTGACCTAGTCCTAATCATTCACTTAAACAAACAAAAATGTAGCCTTCAATGAATTATTAGGTTTAATTAACTGGGATTTATGAAACATAGGAATGCGCTTTTACTCTCAGACCTGCTTCAAAACTCAATTCTCGGTTCTGGCGGGCGAAGTAGTTAATTATAACTCATCAAAAATAGCGAATCGAAACCTCGCATTAAAACAGTGCGTCATAACAACGCATTAGGATCAACATCAAGGGCTAAATGTAACTCGGAAGAGGTAGAGGGTTACATAATTACCAACATTAGACCTATTTCAGTGCACGTAATAGGAGGACAAAACCTGAATCTATGGTACAGTTACGCGACACCGCGTAAGAGAGAAAGCCTCTACCCACGTAGGAACACCTAGCAATTAGCGAAACATCTTCTCTGAATGCAGCCCTCAGCAAGATCTTCAACAGGTTAATTACCAGATAAGATCACCACAACTTTATAAAACTCTAAAATGTTAGTCAAAGTCAAAGTAACGAGGGAACACTTTTGAAAACGGTATGTTTACGACACGAAAAATTGCCTATATTCATTATTAGTATTGGGTTTTTTTCTTTCTCCTTGAGTTTTATTTTTCTTTGAGGGGGTAAAAAGAGGGGGAGAGGG